CCAAGATCCTCGACCAGTCTTAATCCTACGAGCAAGGCCTCGTATTCAGCCTTATTGTTCTAGATCAGAAAGGAAAGAGTTAGAGAGTGTTCGATCACGACACCTTCCTTGTTTTCGAGGAGGATCCTTGCTCCACTTCCTGTCGAGCTGGAAGCTCTGCCCACAAAGATGATCCACTTGTGCTCCTTCCCTGGGGGGGGGGGGGGGGGGTTGTGAGCGATCATCTCCGCAACGAAGTCGGCCATAGCTTAGGACTTGAGGGCCTTCCTAATTTCGTACTGGATGTCGAACTCCGAAAGCTCCAAGGACCATTTTAGCATTCGACTCGCCAAATCCGGTCGACCTAAGAGTTGTCTTACGGGTTGGTCTGTCCATACAATGATCGTGTGTGCCAGGAAGTAGTGTCGAAGCCTTCTCGCTGAGTTGACGAGGGCCAAGGCCACCTTCTCGATTTGTTGGTACCTGACCTCGGGTCCCTGAAGTGCTTTGCTCGTGAAATACACTGGCTTTTGTCCGATAGGAGTCTCGCGAATGAGGGACACACTCACGACCTCGACGGAGACAACTAGATACAGGAACAAGGTCTCCCCGTCCAATGGTCGTGATAGTACAGGCGATTGCGAGAGGCTTTGCTTAAGGTGGAGGAGGGCTTGCTCACATTCTTCAGTCCATTCTAAAGCTGCCTCTTTGCACGAAAGTTTGAAAAATGGAAGGGCGTGTTGAGCGGACTTCGCCACGAAACGGGAGAGCGAGGTGAGCATGCCGTTCAGGACTTGTATAGATTTTTCCGAATTAGGTGTAGGGAGGTCGGAGAACGGCCGACATTTATCAGGGTTGGCTTCAATTCCTTGTTTCGTAAGATAGAAACCGAGGAATTTTCCCGCCTTAACCCCGAAAGTGCATTTCTCGGGGTTGGACCTCATTCTACATTGTCTCGCTTGGGCAAAGACCTTTCTGAGGTGGACATCATGGTCGGTGTCTACTCGAGATTTGACGATCATGTCGTCCATGTATACCTCGAGCATATCTCCGATCTCGTTGCAGAAGACTTTATTCATCGCTGGTATGTCACCCCTGCGTTTTTCAGACCAAAGGGCATTACGTTGTAGTAATAATTTCCCGAGCTGGTCATGAAAGCGGTGCAGTGTTTTTCGCTCATCGCCATTGGAATTTGGTTGTAGCCCGAGTAGTCGTCCATAAAAGATAGAGTTTTATAGCCGACCGAGTTATCGACCAGCATGTCAATATTAGACAAGGGGAATGCATCTTTGGGGCATGCCCGGTTAAGACCGGTATAGTCAACACACATATGCCATTTTACATTATTCTTTTTAACTAGTACAACATTTCACAGCAAGGTTGAATACCTGGCCTCGGAAATAAAATTTGCCTATAGGAGGTCTTTTACAGCAGCCTCTGCTTTCTCGGGAGACTGCTTACATCTATGTTGTACTATTGTCCTAGCGGCTGGATCAATGGCCAGTTGGTGGCAGGTAACCTCGGGGTCGAGACCAGACATCTTTGCAACACTCCACGCGAACAGGCCCGCGTTCTCCCTCAATCAAGCTTTGATCTGATTCCTCACCAGGTCGGGGATCCGATGCCGATCTTCACGCATTTGTGAGGGTCTTCACCGAGGGGGACGAGCTCAAAGTCTCCATCCGGGATTGGTCGGAGGAGTCCCTGCTCTTCGTTGGGTGCTTCATCCTGGTCGAAGCGGATGTCCAGCAAAATGGAGTCGACCTTTGGAGGAGCTCTTTGTTCCTCCGTCTTGACGGGCTGTGGCTCTGGTCGTGCAGTAGCAGCTCTCTTGGCGGGTCGTGATCCAGTGTCGAGCGTACTCTGTCCCTTTGACGCCGCGTTAAAGCATCTTCGGGCAGCTGCGAGGTCGCCTTTGATGGTGGCGACGCGTCCTCTCTTCGTGTAGAATTTTATCTTCAGATGGACGGTGGAGGGAACAACGGTCAATTTCGCCAGTGTTGGTCTCCCTAGGATACAGTGTAGAGAGACGGGCAGTCGATGACAAGAAACCGCACCTTGACTTTCCTGGTGGCGGTCTTCTCGCGGAAGGTGACTAAGATCTCCACATACCTCCACAGTTTGGAGGTCGAGCCATTGAAGCCCTGCAGATCGGACCCCACGTATGGTGAAAGGTGGGTGTCGTCGAGCTGTAGGATTCAAAAGAGTTGGCTATACATTATGTCGACGGAACTCCCTTCGTCGACCAAGATGCGATGAACGTCAAAATTAGCCACTCTCGCCCTAACCAGAAGAGGGATGCTTGAGTTAGGGGCCCCTCTGGGAAATTCTTCGAGGTAGAATGTGATCGGCTCCGATCTGCCCTTGACCCTCTCGAATGCCACCATTTGCAGTGGGAGCATGGCCTCGTGGTTGAACCGATCAATAAACTCCCCGAGGGTCTCGTCGCTTCTCTGGACGATGGTCTCGAGGGCTGCCTCAGTCTTCGGGTGTCGACGAGAGGCAGTGAATGAGCTGATGAACTAGTTTTTCAAGTTTCTCCAGGAGGTAATTGACCCCGGGGCGAGATTCTTATACTAGTCCATCGGAATCTTTCTTAGGGTCGTGGGGAACAACTGGAATTTGATCGGTCCCCCGACATTATGATAGTGCAACATTACCTCGAACCTATTGACATGGTCGACTGGATCGGAAATACCGTCGTACTCCTTCAGATGGGGAGGTTTCTCAATACCCGGGGGAATGGGTGCATCCATAATAGCCTGAGATAGGGGACCCCGGGGGTCGTCTTCGTCGCTTTTGTCTGGAGATCGAGAAGGCGACCTGTTGTAATGACGGTCGTGATGGCGGCCCTGGTCACGCAGAGGATCCCTCAGGCGGTGTCGTCGTTCGTCACCTCTCATGTTCCTGTTTCCAGGGGGTCTTTGCTCTTGACGCGGGGGGATGTGATCACGTCTCCACGTATCTACAGGCTGATCCCTCTCCAACACGGGGCGTCTCCCGATTCATCAGGGAGAGGGGCTTCGAGAGGCATCCCGTCCGTGTCTCTGTGAGGGAGAATAGGGACGGTCCTATATCTGACGGGGAGGAGGAGAATTAGGCCTCCTATGTCTTCTGGGGTATCTTTGAGAATCTTCTAGCACCCTTAATCTCTCCCCTAGCGAAAAGATTAAATAGTTTGTTTGATTTATAGTCGCGAATAGTGCCCTGGTCGTGGCATCAGTACCCGCAGGAACGGGGACCTCCTGGAACGCGGACGACTGATAGTTCTGGAGAGGACGATGATCGTCTTCGAGTCGTCGGGACAGTGATGATGATGAGGCAGTAACGCCGTCTCTATATTCTGAGGGGCCGGGTATGTCACCGGCGTGGCCGTTGTTGTTATTGTTACCGACGTTGAGGCCAGCGGGACCAGCATTGTTGATGCCAATGTTGTGGTCGGCGACGTTGTTGTTGACGTCGGCGAGATGAAGATTCAGGTTATTTTCTGCCGTGAGATCAACCATGACAGTAAAAAAGGAGTTGGATTAGCTTTTGTCTTTGATGAATGAAAGACGGGGAAGTTGTGATTCCCACAGACGGCGCCACTGATCGTACCTGACCAGAATGGACCGTCATAGTTTACTTCGAGCAGTACTTGAATGTGAGGTGGGAGGGGCGGGGGGTACCTGCAAGACACTCCGATGCCAAAGTGAGATTCAGAATAAGCGAGCAAGCAAGAGAATGAGAAATGTTCAATACCTGACCCTCTTGAAAGAGAGGGTATTTATAGCCCCCAGCGTTGGGCCAAGGTCTCCTCGTTGGGCTGGTCAAGCAGACCCAAAGTGGAGACTGCCAGGTCCTACGTGAGTAGTGGGAACCCGCACGTGGTCCCTTACCTAGATGACTTCCTCCGCAACATCAGGAGGATATGGATGCGGTCTTTCTGGGGCCACGAAGACTCTGTGATATTCAGAGACGTTGATAGTCAGCCTTACGAGGAGAATGCTCGTGAGGTGCTTCTGCTCGTCGTGGATGCTCTCCGCCAGACGCAAGGTCATGTGAGGGGATCAGTCTTGGTCGGGGAGAGGATCAGAGGGTGACCTCGAGATCCTCCTGACCGGCGATGATCTTCCTAAAACTAACTGGACTTATCTCCATGCAGTGAAGTTGCCTCCTCGTGGGGAGTGGAAGTTACGGCCCGACACAGTCGAGGGCAGAATTGACCAATATGCCTTGACCGACATAATTGGGATGGGCCTCACATGGAGTTGGGCCAAGGACAGACCCAGTCCAGAATATCAAAAATTAGTTAATTTATTGTAATTGGTATATTCAAAAAATAAATTTATTATTACAAATATAAAAACTCTAAAACACAATATATTTATTTAAAAAAAAATTAAATACAACTTTTTTGCATGGATAGTTTTATGTTTATATAATTTACATCATTCATATCAAATAAATATGATAAAATTATTTAAATATTCATAATTTTTTAAGTTAATTTTTTTGTCCATGTCAATAGAATATTTTTCATAAATTATATAAATAATTTTTTATTTCATTAGTTTATAAAATTTAAAATCTTACAAATTAGTATTAATTATATTTGCATGCATCAAACACATAATATATATGATGGCGATCCAGATTACTCAATATAAATTATGGACGGTGAATATTTCACATCAATTGATATCTTTATTAGAAAATAATTGATTTTCATGTGTCTTTATTTTAATTTTGTGTTGAAAACAACATTATTATTAATTGAATTAAATATTGAGCACTAAAACAAAAGTCCGAGTAAGACTACATTTAGATCTATTGACTTAGTCTTAGTCCTAAGTCCTCAAACAAACGAACAAAACTTCATAATAATACCGTTTCTCAATTATGAAACCGCGTTTATAAAATTAACTTTATAGCTTTTAGATTCTCATTAATAATCAAAAACCTCATCTTATGAATACCCTTCTCAAATCACCTTCTCTCACACACCATGAAATTATTGAGTTCTTTCAATAATAATTTCCATGGCTTTTCACTATAATCTCTTGTTCATTTCTTTATTTTTTTGTTCTTTTATTCTTATTCTTCCTAACATAAACTCACTCTCAACTGTTTCAATTTCTGACTCTTCGGATTTCAACCAAACCTTAATCTGTATCTTACAACAACAACCTCAAAGCAAACAAAAACAAAAACACTCAAATCTCAATTGTACTAGTTTTCCACCTAGTACTATTGCACTTGATGTGAATCCTAATGTTTCATATTCCCAAATTGTTGGTGGAAATGGTTTTCTATGTGCATTAACATCATTATCAAATTCTTCAAATTCAATCTTAGGCTGTTGGAGATTCTCAAACTCTTCAAATTCCACTACTGTTCTCTTTAAACGAATCTATCATGGACCTTTCATTGAAGACATCGATGGCGGAAACTCTCAGGTTTGTGGTCTTGTTAATGCGAAAAACGGTTTTCGCATCGAGTGTTGGCCATGGAAGAGCTTCAGTTCATTCAATTCAAGCTTGAGTTTTTCAAGTATTGCAGCTGGAGATAATTTTGTATGTGGGATAACAGAAAATGGAAAAGGGAATTTTGTTACTTGCGGAGGAAGTAACAAAGAAGTAGTTGGAAATGAACCGAAGAACGGTGGAAATTATTCGGTAATCGAAGCCGGTTCGAATCATGTTTGTGTGATTTCTAGTGATGGTGGTTTGGATTGTTGGGGTGATGTGGTTGGTGAGAAGCCCAAAGGGAGATTCATTGGATTGGCTTTGGGAGAGAAGAGAAGTTGTGCTCTTGGGTATGATGGATTAGTTGAATGTTGGGGTTTGAATGGTTTCACCATGCCATTGAGATTAAAAGGGACTTTTTTTGAATCGATTGTGGCTAAAAAAAGTGTTTTTTGTGGTGTTTTGGCTTCTAATTATTCTTTAATTTGTTGGGGAAATGAGGTTTTTGAGGAGTCGAAAAATGCATTCAAGGTGTTTGATAATGTGCTTCCTGGACCTTGTAAGAGTCGATGTCCGTGTGGGCCTTTATCGGATTCTGCTAAGCTTTGTGTCTCGCCGGGTGTCATTTGTAAAGCTTGTTCGCCGTTGGTTGAGTTTTCATCGTCGCCACCGTTGAATCCTCCGTCTACGGTGGTTGGAAATTCGTCGAAAAGTGGTACTTGGAGTGGCAAAATGGTGGCGTTTCTCGTGATCGGATGCGTTGGATGTAGTTCATTGTTACTGGTTTTATCTTGCTATCTTTACAAACACTGCAAAGACTTGGGATGCAAATCTAGAGTTCATGACTCGGGAAGATTAGACGATCATGATCCCGAAACCGAATTAGATCCTCCTCGAGGTATCCCGGTTCTTGAGAAGCGGTTAAGCCATGTAATCAGCATGGGAAACGGAGGGACTCTTTTGCAGGAATTTTCTCTTCAAAAACTAATTCAAGCCACCAACAATTTCTCCGAAGATAACAAAATCGGCGTAGGAAGTTTCGGGTCTGTGTACCATGGAAAACTCGAAGAAGAAGGACTCGAAGTTGCAATAAAAAGAGCTGAAATGTCATCAACTTTGATGTCTTCTGCACATTTCGGTGTCGCGAGAAGACAAGAAGACCAAGACAACGCCTTTGTGAACGAACTCGAATCTTTATCGAGACTCCACCACAAAAACTTGGTAAAACTACTCGGTTTCTACGAAGACAAATATGAGAGAATTTTAGTTTACGAATACATGAACAACGGAAGCTTAAACGAACATCTCCATAAATTTCAAACCTCGAATATCATGTCATGGCGCGTTCGTATAAAAGTCGCCTTAGACGCGGCTAGAGGTATAGAATATCTACACAGATACGCAACACCGTCGATCATTCACCGTGACATTAAATCATCAAATATTTTACTAGACTCAAAATGCGTCGCAAAAGTTTCAGATTTTGGGCTATCATTAATAGGCCCGGAAGACGAACAGTCACATCTCTCACTTCTAGGGGCCGGAACCGTTGGTTACATGGACCCCGAATACTATAGACTACAACATTTAACAACAAAAAGCGATGTCTATAGTTTCGGAGTTGTTTTATTAGAACTTTTAAGTGGTTACAAAGCCATACATAAAAATGAAAATGGAGTGCCAAGAAATGTGGTTGATTTTATTGTACCATTTATAGTTCAAGATGAGATTCATAGAGTTTTGGATCCAAAGTTGCCACCACCAACACCATTTGAGATTGAAGGTGTGGCTTTTGTAGGTTATTTGGCTTGTGATTGTGTTCGTTTGGAAGGGAGAGATAGACCAAATATGAGCCATGTTGTGAGTAGTTTGGAAAAAGCTCTTGAGGCTTGTTTGGCAGAACCTATTCTCTGTGGGTCCAATTCTACTACCACAGTTTCTTCTTATGAGTGAATGACTTTCCACAATCACTTTTTCCTTAAGCGTTTGTGAATTTTGAAAGTGTCAATTCTTGTATATTGTTATTATACACAAATTTTCTTTCTTCATTTTTTCTTTGTTAATATTTTTTTGTGAACCAAATTTCATTGTCATAATTTTCATAATATAAGTACACACTATTCACTTTGACACATTCCAATTTTTGTTTTCTAAACTTTATTATTATTATTTTTCATAAATTAAATAATAGTAATTATCCAAAACTTACATACAATCCTGAATACTAGATATCAAATCTATCATGTTCAAATCTAACACTGTCGACTTTTTGTCGGTTATTCTAGAATTATTTTCTAAAATTTAAACTATATATAATGAAAAATTTGACTAATCTATATTTATATATGAGATCATAGTAATTTATAAAACTGATTTGCAGCATTATTGAACATCCTTTAAATTCAAACAATGAATAATGGTTTGTGTTGAGTTAGTAATTTAGGCCAAAAAAGTGTATCATACATTGACAATTTAATGATGAATGACCTAACCATTTTATTTTATTTATTATTTAACTACTACTCCCAATATAGTCAATGTTTCATTTCTTCTTTACTATCAAAGTTATATGGAAGTTTCTGATATAAGGGCATAACAGTCAACTAATTTTTCCAATTAACACAATTTTCTTTACATAAATAAACAAAGCATAGGAAGACTCTAGAAATAACCATAAATGGACTAGTCAAATTTTCTTCTTTCACTAATTTGTTCTAACACTAGTTATAAGTTGAAAGACTCACATTCCAACTCTAGAATGTGGGAAGAAGTAGTAATATAACAACTATTTAATAGATGTAAGTATTTGACTCTTATTATATCTACATAGACTTGAGTGATATTATACCGTTGAACAATAATTATAGTCTTAAATGAAAATTATAAGAGTTTGTTTCATTAAATTAAGTAAAAGTTAAAAAGCGATAAGACCTAATATGTGAATTAGTAGTAAGATTACAATATTGAGATTAGATTGTATTAATCACACTTTTTTAGATATAATCTAAGTTAGTTATTTAGTTAGAAAGTTAAGTAGCTCTATAGTTAAAATTAAGTAGCTTTATAGTTAAAATTAAGGTTTGTTACGTTAGTTATTTAGTATACAAGTCGCTTAGGTATATATAAATAAATATTGTAATTTAGTTTTAATTAACACATTCAATAATAACCCTAATTCAATAATTTTTATTCTCTCTCTCTCATTCTTTCTCTCACTCAAATTGTATTAAACACTAACAAATTGGTATCTAGAACTTCCAATTAGTTTTCTGACTGTGCTTTCAAGAACTGCTTGTTGGGGGTCGTGTTTCCATAGATTATGAATCGTATTTGCTACAAAGATGAATGATGGCAACAATATTCCTAATCCTGTTCCAATTCCTGACAGCAAGAATTGAATCCGATAGAAAAAGCAGATGAAATCTTTGTTCGGTATCCATGAAACCCTTGAACTTGTCATCAATGGCGTTCCTAACTGATGCTCAGATAGTCAGTCACAAAGATGCCAAGAAGAAAGACTACAAGGTTGCATTTTGTATTTAGTCGGTGGTATATGCTGCAAATTTTGATTGGATTTCTCATGCTGAATCGGAGAATGAGGCATGAGAGATTCATGTCAAGTATTACGAAGGAGGTGAGAAGGTTAAAACTGTCAACTTACAGACATTGTGAAGGCAATATAAATTACTGCAGATGGGAGAAGAAGAAAAGATTGTAGGCTATGTCTCGAAGGTGCAAAATCTTGTTCATTTCATGAAAGGTTGTGGGTAAATCCTTATTGACAAGATGATAGTTGAGAAGGTAATGCATACATTGACCTCTCACTTTGATCACATTATCGTAGTTATTCAAGAATCCAAAAATCTTGAAACCATGAAACTGGAAGATTTGGTTGGTTCGTTGGAGGCACATGAGTTATAAATTATCGAGAGGAAAAGGGTTCAAGATTTGATACATGCACTGCAGGCTTAAGCGTGGAAGAATCAAGGTGGTTCCAACAAGTTCAAAGGCAAAAGAGACAAGAGTCAGATCAATAAGTCTTGATTAAATCCTCAAAAGCATAAGGTCGATGATAGAGCCTATGAATCCTCGAAAAGAGGAGAAGGAAACTCTTATCAGAAAGACAAAGAATAGAAAAAAGGTGTGCGGTGCTATAATTGGGAAAACGTGTGGTCACTTGGCCAAAAATTATTGGTACAAGAAAGACAAGTGAGCGACAAAAGGTGAGGATGAAGTAGAAAACCATGCACGATAAGATTCAGATGATTATGAAGATCTTGTGCTCATGGTTGCAGTTGCAGATGAGCACGTCGACTCTAATATCTGGTTCCTCGACACAAGCTGTTCAAATCACATGACTGATCAAAGAGTGTGGTTAACAGATTTTGACGAGTCGAAGAAGAGTTAGGTCAAACTCACTGATAATAGCTCGTTACAAGCAGAATGTACTTGAGACATATTTATTCAAAGGAGCAATTGAGCAAAAGCTATGATCAAATATGTTATCTATGAACCTAGAATGAAGTATAATATGCTAAGTGTTTGTTCCAAAGAATGATGAGCCATCAACATCCCATTGGGGAGGAGAGAGGAAAAGGGAGGACAAATCTCGATATTTCAAAGACTATTGGGGGCCAGCTGGTCGGTTCCATGACTACACCCCCTCAATGCTCTGTGCAAGCAGATTCTGACAGAATGCACCAACTTGGAGTTCAAGAAAGCTGAGGTGCACTTTCCTCGTCAAATACCGTCCAAGCCTGGGACGGAAAAAATAAAATACTACAAGTTCCACAAAAGTCACGGGCATAATACAGACAACTGCATCTACCTAAAGGATGCCATTTAGATACTCATCCGAGATGGTCATCTCAAATAATACAAGAAAAAGGAGAGTGCATGCGAAGAAGCCCAAGAGACCAAGAATCTGGAAGAAGCGAAGCTTTCCCCCGACGCGAGTCACATGTCCGTCGTCCTGAGCATCACCAGGCCTGAGGACTTCTAGTTCCCCAACATGGATGAGGCCCCTCTATATTTCACAACCCATAGCCCCTAGGAGACATTTCCAGCGGTGATGGTTATATCTGAAGGAGTCTTCAACAAGTGTATGGTGGCCTCGGTCAATAGGAGGTTCAACCAACTCATCGATGCCAGCTCTGAGAAGAATGCCACTCTCGAAAAAAGCCAGGGGAAGCTTTGTCACTATTACCTTCTACAAGTAAGAGTTACCTGGAGGGGCCCCTAACTCCAGTATTCCTCTGCTCATAAGGGCAACAATGGCCAAATTCGAGGTCAGGTGAATCATGGTCGACCAAGACAGACTGATGGATATAATATACTCTCAGATGTTCACCACTCTGCAGCTAAATGAGACCCACCTGATCTGATATGTTGGCTCCGACCTCCATGGATTCAATGGCTCCGTTACCAAGCCCTGGGGATACGTCGAGATGATCGTCACATTCGGGGCGACTGAATGTTCCAGGTTGATCAAGACGCAGTTCCTTGTGGTAGACTGCCCTTCATTGTACCGATGCATCTTTGGAAGGCCCACCTTGGCCAAGCTGATAGCAGTGCCCTCCACGGTGCACCTTAAAATGAAGTATTACACCGAGAAAGGACTCTTCTCCATCCTTCACGGGGACATCCAGGCGACACAAATATGTTTTGAAGATGCAGCTAAAGGATTGAGCTCCATAAACTTGCAACCCTGAACGACCAACAGATCTACCCCTCCTAGCAGTTCAGAGGAGCCACAACCTTTACCGCACATCGATGCAATCGACCTCGACAACAGGTTCACAAAGGAAGATCTCCGAGAGCAGAAGAGAAAAGGAAAAGGCCCCCTACTGGAAGCAGAAAGTTCCTCCTCTACAATCAACAAGGATCCCATGCACCCTGTGCACCCAATCCTTGACAGGGATTTTGAAATCATCCCCCTGGGCAACGATCCATCTAGAGGAGTCAAGATCGGTGCCAACCTCCTCAACTTGGAAAAAAGACAGTTGAAGGCATGCCTCGGGAAGAATGCAGACTTGTTCGCCTGAAGTGTAGCAGAGATGCTCGACCTAGACCCGGAGATAGCTTGTCACCACTTACCAATAGATTCTGCCATTAAGGAAGTTGCTCAACGTAGGCGCTGGCAGTCCCCGAAGAAAATAGAGGTTGCCGAGCAGGCTGTGAAAGACCTCCTAGAGGCAAACTTTATTTCTGAAGCCCAATACACAACCTAGCTCTCTAATGTAGTTCTCGTGACAAAGAGTAATGTAGAATGGCACATGTGAATTGATTATACCGATATCAACCGGGCTTGCTCGAAAGATGCTTATCCCCTCTCAAATATTGAAAAACTAGTTGATAACTCTACAAGTTTTAAACTACTCTCATTCATGGATACATATTCTGGATACAACCAGATCCCCATGGCCAAAACGGACAAAAAGTACACGACCTTCATGACCGAGTCAGACAACTATACTAAAACGTAATGCCCTTCGGTCTGAAGAATGCCGATGCTACATACCAAGGAATGATGAACAAGGTTTTCTGAGGAGAGATAAGAGACATGCTAGAGGTCTACATGGATGACATGATCGTCATGTCCAAAGAAGAAACTGACCACGCTTTCCACCTGAAGAAAGTCTTCGAGCAGGCAAGGAAATGAAGAATGCAATTCAATCCAGAAAAGTGCATATTTGGCGTACAGGCATGTAAATTCCTCGGTTTCTACCTAACAGAACAAGGAATCGAAGCCAACACTGACAAGTACCGATTATTTAATGAGTTTCCAATGCCGAACTAAAAGAAATCTATTTAAATCCTAAATGAAATAATCACCTCACTATCCCGTTTTGTGGCAAAATCTGCCCAACACACACTTCCTCTCTTCAAACTTCTCCGCAAATAGGCGACCTTCGAGTGGACCGAAGGGTGCAAATGCACCCTCGTCCACCTGA